GGAAAAAAAATGAGATAGAAGGAACCTGGTTTCTGATGACTTTTGAAAGTAGCCCACCAGTCCTACTTGTATATTGACTCTCCCAATCTTCTTTTATGAGCGAATGGAATTTGTTTTAGCCATTCTTATTTTGGTTTTTCTGTGCTCTTTATTATAAGAAAATCTCTTGTATCGTAAAACTTTATTAGAAAAGACGGTGAGAAAATGAAATCAGAATTCTTGGGGGCAGGGCCTGGGAATCTGCATTTAACAGGCTCCCATGGGGACCAATGCACATGAAAGTCTGAGGTGGGATGCTTACGAATCAACTCTCATAGTTTTCTTTTAGTAATATATATACTCCAAGAATAGGAAGCAAGCAATCTGGACATGAAAAGAAAGGACCATCTTTTAGTGTTGCTTGTTTTAATATAGATGACTTGCTTTGAACCTTTATTGCTTAAGGGTTGGTTCTGAAGTGAAACTCTTTGGGTAGTAAAAATTCTGGCCAAAAGGAAATCGTCAGACAAACTGGACCAGTGCCTGTGAGTTGGTGGCTATGTTGGGGCCACAGTTTTGGTCTCTGACTCCAAGCTCTCTGGCCCCTGGACCCTGCAGCTTCCCTGCAAGCTCTGGAAAGCTATTCTTTTTCCAGCATCGCAGGTGACAATCCTCCGGCCTAGCCACAGGGTGTGAGGTGGCAGCTGTTTGGCAGCATGGTCAGGGTTTTGCTACAGGGAAGTGAAGTGTGTCCAATCAAAACAGCAAGGGGTCATCTAGGACAGCAGCCCGTCCACTTAGGTGGCTGGCTGGAACCACAAAAGAATCCAAGTCATGCCCTGTGGTGCATGTCACAGGAAGGCCAACCCCCTGTTCCAGCTCACCTAAATCTTTGCCAGGATACAGCGATTTCCAGTGAAGCATATTTGTGTCCTGAACCTTTCCAAATTGTTTATTCGGTAGCAATGAATTGGAAGAACTGGCTTCACCACTCCCCACCAAAATGGCTTGTTTACCATGGACTTTATGTTAATGATAATACCTTAAATGGGAAAGGAGGAGGAAAACAGTGTTTAAAATGCACAGGACTTGCTTGGGTTATAAAACAACAAACAAAAAGAGAAAATGTAACCCAGCAATTCACTGTTAAAAAAACAATGGTGCTTTCTTAAGTAAATATGTGCACTTTCCAATATTGAAATAGGGCGCTGATCAGAGGTGGGGGTTTCATAAAACCTGCTTTCGGGACTTGGTGTTGTTTTTGTGTGGCTTGTCTTCTGGTAGTGAGCTTCTAGGCACTCTGGGAAGAGAGGATATTCCCAAAATAATTCTGCTCTTTCCCCCTATCTTCACAGAGCCTGCCTTTGAATATCATCATGCTATTTCTTTAGTTGCAGTAAAATATAGATTCCACCACTACATTAGAATGCTTATTAGCGCTGCTAGGCAAAGTAACTGCTGCGTATTAATCTCTTAGGGGACTGGGCCATATACCTGCCCAGACTTGTCTTTTCATACAGCTCACTACCCAAAACAACACCAAGGACACCGTGCCCTTCCCTTCCATTCCAGAAAGCTCTTGGGCCACAAACACTAAAAGGATCCTTTGCTTTAAATATTCTTGCATGCAATGAGCACGTGCTCATGTAATTTCTGGTAGTATCTGGTGGCTCTTTTCGCATGGGTGTCATATTTCTGTAATGTGCCTCTGTCTTCTGGGAATGACTGAAGCAGGGCTGCTACTTCATTCTACGACTCCAGGGGGTGGCTTTCCCATCACGGTCTGCGGTGCCTCATGGAGTTGCACAGGGCACAGCCTGGGCAGCCTTGGGTGGCGGCTCTGATTGCTCAAGTCATCAGACCAGCCTGTGGAGAGCTTGGGTGTGTACTGTTGGGAAAAGGCTGACGATGTATGCTTCAAGGGCAGTGGTGGAGGACGTTAGAGCTGGAGTGGGGCAGAGTTCATGCTATGTGATTATGGGGTGAGATTTATATCACCTGCCAAGCTTTAAGAGAGGCTGGTGAAGGAGATATTAGGGCTCTGCTTCCTGGGAGGCTCTGGGTTTGGGGTGTGGTTGACTTCAAATCCCAGAGGGGCCGGGGCAATAGCCAGCAGGGTACATGCATCCACCAGCCTACAAGTTCTCTGAAGGTGTGTCAGCCCTTGCTAGACAAGGAGGGGGCTTCCCCCCCCCACCCCCCACCCTTTTAAAAAATCAGGCAGCACCTTAATGTTTGGGCAGAGCTTGCTTTCTCTGCAACCCAAAGGCTTCTCAGTGAGCACGCTTCATGGGAGGGGCTCTCTTCTGCCTGCAGAGTGTTCAAGCCAGCACTCATCTGCAACTGTAGATCCGTTTGGAGATCCTAAATGGAGCTGCTGAATTGTTGTCATGGTTACCTGGGACTGTTTCTGAGGCCAGAATGTTTTCAAAGAGGGCAGCCCTGAGCTGGGTAAGGTTTCTGAGTAGGCAACTGAGCCAAGAGAATTGCTTCCTCCTTTCCTTCTCCACGCTCCTAGTCCCCACCCAAGAGCCTGATATCTACACTCATCGTCCTAGCTTCGGCCCAGCCAAACCTACTGCCCACGCTTGGTAGAGCCTTAAAAGATCAGGCTGACCTAGCAGCACCCTGACTGTAGCTCGGGGGTGCCTCCTCCCTCTACAAACCAACACAGGTTCCTGGATTCACTCATGCACGCAGCTGCTTCTAGACAAAAGACATCTGTGAAATAGTTTTCTGCACTTAATATATTAATAAGGAACTGACATTTTTGAAAACCTCCTATGAGCCCAGCGCTTCACATGTATCTCAGGTAATTTACCAACCTAGCGCGGGAGGCGATATCATTCACATTTTACCTAGGAGGAGCCAAGGGCTTGTATAGGTGATGCCTGGTGCTGCGCAACACGAAGTGGCAGAGCTGGGATTCAAATTCAGTCTGGCAGATTGTAAAGGTAGTTCTCCTTCCTCCAAGTTATGGCTGCCATGTTAGCCACTGAGAACTACTAGCTCCAAAAGGCTTTCAACCACCTACGGGGCCATGAACACTCATTCGTTCATTCAATAAACATGCCCTGACTCAGCTCTGTGCCAGACCTTCTGCTGGCTACCGGAGACATAAAGATAAATCAGACACAACTTTTGCCCTCTAGAAACTAACACGGACAACCAGCAGTAATTCTACTAGAGAATAATCTACAAGATGCTAGAGAGAGGGGGCAGTCAGGGAAACTGATTTGGAGGAAATGACGCCTGACTGAACCAGCTATGTTTCAAGGTATGGCCCGTGGTGGGGAATAAACAGCAGAGTAACACCCAATCCCTATGCTCAAGGTGCTTGCAGTAGAGTTGCAGAGATAAGACTCATGCTTATGACACAATGAAAGAATAAAATCACTAAGGCTCCAAACAGGTGAGTGTAGGAGAATTGGGAAACGGAGGCAGCAGAAGTTGGGACCATTGAGGAAAGGCTACAGAAATGAAATGGAAGCCATCTTTGCTCATAAGGTTAATCTTAAAGGTCTTTGATCTCTGTCTCTTTTTCTTTTTCCCCCCTACTCTTTCCAAAGTCACTTCTGGCTCTACTGATTTTTTTCCATTTCCTACTAAAGGAAAACACTTACTCAACATCATTAGAACCTGAGCTGAGCGCAAGGCATTAATTACCCTAGACCCTGATGGTGCTCATAATGGGGTACAGAGGTGAGCAAGACATGCCCTTGAGCAACATATGAATAACCTAAATGATGAAAGTTTGAGAGGCGTGAGCTCCAAACCAAGTGGTGGAAGGAGTGAAATAATTCAGATTTGGAAAGGGGACTGTCATTCAGGAAAGACTTCACTGATGTAAGTTTGCTCATCCATTTCTTCAGCATTCATCCCCTGATGCCTCCTAGCTACAAGATCCTCTCCTTCAAGAGCCCACAGCTGAGCACAGGCCCTCAGACACACACAACCATTGCAATACATTGTGATAAACAAGCATGAGATGTACACAGGACCATGGCTGCTCATAAGAGAGGATTCAGAAGACAGAGTTGGTAGCTTCTGAACTGATTCCTAAAACTAACAGGAGTTTTCCAAGTGGAGGGAGAGGAAAGGGAAGGTAAAAATGCACTGAGAGTGTTTGTTTAAAGCAGTTTGGTGTGGGGCCTTTGGAGGGAGATGAGGTGTTAAGATACACCACCCACAAAGTGGAAAGGCCTTGAATACCAGACTAAGGCGAGGAAATAGGCGGCCATAGAAGAGCTCTAAGCAGGCGAGGACCACGATAAGATTTTCGTTTTGGAAATGTCCCTCTGGTACAGCGTGTAGGGTGGACTAGAACAGGATGGAGATGAGGGCTCAGCCATGGACGCCTAGAGCAGCTGTATCTTTGTGCCCAGGAAGCCGCACCAGACGAGAGCCTAAGCCAAGCTGGGGGAGTGGGGGCTGGGGGAATGGAAGGTGAAGGGAAAGTGCCGCGTGAGGTCTACATTCAGGACAAGGACATACGCAGTTCTAAGCAGTGCACAGCTGCTGGGAAGACCCACCTCCCCTTCCAGATCCCTCTGGGGCGGAGCTCGGGCCAAAGCACGTGACGCCTGGGGAACCACCTTTACTGCGGGCAGTCCTCCCGTACATCCGCGGTTTCACGGGTCGCCACTCCGTTACCCAACACCTTGACTCCTTTCCTTGGTGCTCGCGGAATCTGTTCTCTGTCGTGCGTCCCTATACGCTCCTCCTGCAAAGCATAGTTTAGGGAGATAAACAACCAAGGAAGCCTCTGCCCACACTAAAGATGGCGACCTGCTGCGCTCCCTCTGGGTGGGGGAGCGGGTTCCAAGCGCCTGGCCTCACTGGGCGAGGCGCAGACGGAAGGGGCGTCTCTCGAGGTAACTTTTCGACCTTCCTGGGAGGGGACTTGAGTGGGGGGGCGTGGCCTAGTCTAAATTCTAACAGCTGATTGGTCTTTCGTCGGGCAGGCGGGGTGTCCGCGGTCCCCCACCCCTCCCTCTTCGAACCGGAAGTATCTCTCGGTCTTTCCAGCTGGTTGTCATTTCACTCGGCTCGGTCCTGAGGAGAAGGACTCAGCCGCGGCTGCGGGACCCGGGCACCGGGAGGCGGCGGCGGCGCGGCGGCGGCGACGACAGCGGCGACAGCGGAGGAGGAAGAGGAGGCAGAAGGAGAAAAGAAGACGAGCCAGGCGGAGTCCGCAACGACAACAGCGGGGACTGTGGGACCAGGGTAAAGCGGCGGCGACGGCGACGGCCCAGCAACCGTGAGGAGAAACAAAAGCCTTCTAAATTATAGTTAAAAAAACAAACAAAAAAACCTTGGGGGGGAAAAAGAGAGAGAGAGAGAGAGAGAGAAGGGGGGTGGGGAAGCCCTTCGCTTTTAGGGTCACTACACTAGTGGGTTTTTCCTTTTTTTTCCCCCCCTCTGTTCCCCCTGTGCGGAGAACCGAACTGAGAACGGAACCAACCGCTCCTGGGTCCCATGAGGGAAAAAAACCCCGGAGCCGCAGAGAGGGGAAGAGGCCGTAACCGCAGGGCCTTCCAGGTCGCCCCCTTGGTGCCCGCACCCCCAGGCCGCCGGCTCGCCCTCGTCCGGTCTCGCTAATCCCTCCGGATCGCGACCCCTCCACCACCCCCGTTAAGAGGGAGACACGGGTGTGTGTGCAGCCCGTTTCATGGGGGAGAGGAGGCCCGGGGGAGCCCGAGAGCAGCGACCGCGGCAAGATCTGCACCCAGAGCCTCAGCAGAAGCCCCAGCGGCCGGCACTGCCCCCCCGGGAAAGAGCAGAAACAGGACCAGGACCAGCAGAAGCCTCCCTGCAATCACCTTCCCATTAGTCAACGCTGATTTCCGCGCCCGCACCCAGGAGTCCGCCTCCCGCCCCAGATAACCTAATATAATCTATCTATCTATATATAAATATATAATATATAATGCTCTTAAATTATTCCTGACTTTTTTTTTAACCAAGCTGCCAAGAAAAGAACGTATTCTCCCCCCCACCCCCCACCCCTGTAGCCCTATTCTAATTTTTATGTGAGTGAATCTAAACCGCTGAGGAAGCCCATATGTGATTGTTAAATTATATATATATATATATATATACATATATATTTTTACTTCGCGCAATGCTTATTCTTCTACATCCATAGAGAAGCTGTGTTTTTCGTCATTCATGTACGTTTTCCTTTGGAAAAAAGAAAGCGCCTATTTTACTAACCAAAGACTTGGTTTTTACCCTCTTTGTTTTTATTCCCTCCTAGAAATAAGCCCAGTCGGATTCATGTTAATGTTTTAAGAGATTTTTTTTTTTTTAGTTCTCTTTTGCTTTCAGAGACCAGAATTCCAAATCAAAACTAACGTGATAAGCTGCGATCTTGGAGCTAGCTCTATAAATAAGACATTTTCAAACAAACACCTTAAATTTTGGGTAGAGAATACAAAGGCGTGAGACATCAAGTTGTCGTGATTTTTTTGTTTGGTTTTGTTTTTGTTTTATTATAAGATTCTGCTCCTAAAAATAATAAATGGGGGATTACGGGTTTGGAGTGCTAGTGCAAAGCAATACTGGGAACAAATCTGCTTTTCCAGTCCGATTCCATCCACATGTGCAGCCTGCACACCATCACCAAAATGCCACCCCCAGCCCTGCTGCTTTTATAAATAATAACACAGCTGCCAATGGCAGCAGTGCCGGGTCAGCTTGGCTCTTCCCTGCTCCGGCTACCCACAACATTCAGGATGAGATCTTGGGGTCAGAGAAAACAAAAAGTCAGCAACAGGAACAGCAAGACCCTTTGGAAAAGCAGCAGCTCTCCCCCAGCCCAGGTCAGGAAGCTGGAATACTGCCCGAAACTGAGAAGGCAAAATCGGAAGAAAACCAAGGGGACACTTCTTCAGAAAATGGCAATGGGAAGGAGAAAATCAGAATCGAATCACCAGTGTTGACAGGGTTTGATTATCAAGAAGCCACCGGGCTAGGTACTTCCACCCAACCCTTGACATCCAGTGCGTCGTCTCTCACTGGTTTCAGTAACTGGTCAGCAGCGATCGCGCCTTCTTCCTCCACAATCATCAACGAAGATGCCAGTTTCTTTCACCAGGGAGGGGTCCCGGCTGCTTCGGCTAATAACGGTGCTCTGTTATTTCAAAATTTTCCCCATCATGTCAGCCCTGGCTTCGGAGGCAGCTTCTCCCCTCAGATCGGGCCTCTCTCACAGCACCACCCTCATCACCCTCACTTCCAGCATCATCACAGCCAGCATCAGCAGCAAAGGAGGTCTCCTGCCAGTCCCCACCCCCCACCTTTCACACATAGAAATGCTGCTTTTAACCAGCTGCCTCATTTGGCGAATAATCTTAACAAACCCCCCTCTCCATGGAGCAGCTACCAGAGTCCCTCTCCTACACCCTCTTCTTCCTGGAGCCCTGGAGGTGGCGGATATGGTGGCTGGGGAGGTTCCCAAGGCCGTGATCACCGCAGAGGGCTAAATGGAGGAATAACACCCCTGAACTCCATCTCGCCTTTGAAGAAGAATTTTGCAAGCAATCATATTCAGCTCCAGAAGTACGCTCGCCCCAGCTCTGCCTTTGCTCCTAAGTCCTGGATGGAAGATAGCTTGAACAGGGCTGACAACATTTTTCCTTTTCCGGTAAGATTATGTTCCACTAATAGATTAAGACGAATAAGGAAATGGTATGGTGTAATATCTATTTAACTAAGCGAGTTGGAATTGTCCATGTTCATATCAGAGCTCTCCTTAGAATTTTGAGTTAATCACCAGACATTATTCTGGCAGGAGAGGATTGTAATTTGAAATAAAATATTCATCTGTTTCTTGGGCAAATTTCTAATTGTAATCTTCCCCGGGATAATTGTATAAACTGGCATAATTATGAGTACCAGGTAGCTAGTGATGTCATAATTATTAACCGTAATACCTTTCTAGCCTGACAAGACAATCAGGGTTGGTTTTTCCCTACTTATTTAGTTGAGAGTAAATAATTTATAGATGTAAATGTCTTTCATTGTGGAAGCGGATGAGCATTTTCTGCCCTTATGCAGTAACTATATAACCAAAGAAATTCCATTTTCTCCACTGTAAGGTACTGAGTCACTGAAAACCAACTCTTAAGATTGTAGTTTTCTCACTGGTTACATGTTAAGCTTGGAACCTCTCTGAACCCTGCAGTCTGAGCAGTCTGAATTCACCCCTGTCCTCCTGCAAATTCTGGCCTGCCCTGTGTCAGTAAGGACTGCTAGAGAAATGATGTAAATGTTGTCTTCATCCCCATTTCTTTTTGAATACCATGAAACTAGATCTCAGAGTGACTCTTTTATGATGCCTTTCACCCATTTGTTTATTTCCCAGTGTTAGCACTAGGGGTGTAGATAATTAAACCATACCTAAAAATAGATCCAGGCGAAGATCACTTGTCTTTCTTGCCACCGGTGTATTCTTATTCTGCAAGAGTCACATTGTTTGATGTTTTCGAAGTAATCAGCTGCCAGTCTAGCCAATAGATGAAAGATAAAGTGAAATTTCATAGTTAATTGGGCATCAGATGCCCCACTAAATTTGTATACTTTTGGGGTATGGTCATTTATATGTGTTTAGGAAATTTATATGGATTAATAAGCTACCATTGAATCAGTCCTCACAACAACCCCTCAAGGTAAGTTCTGTTATTATCCCATTTTACAGAGGAGAAAATTGAGTATCAGAAAGATATAATAACTTGTCCAAGAGCTACACAGCTGATAAGAGTATAAACTCTAGGTGAAAAAAAAAGAGGATTAAAAATATACCTGTATACATACATGTGTACACAGACACATGTGCTTTATTTTAGAGCTCTTTCTGCAAGGGCTAAGACATATTACAAATAGTTGCAATGTCCCCAAATGTGATGTCAGCACAAGCAGAATTATCTGTTTTAATTAATGGTTTGCTTAGTGGTAGGGGAAGTTTGCCAAGAAAACACTGTGTCATTCCAAGGAATTAAATATCCCTCCTCTAAGGATTCAGGTGTAATGGTTAGATGTATCTTAAAATAGTTAGTTAAATTAAGTTTTGGATTAAAAAAATATATATATATTTTGCCTAAGTATCAAAAAACTGTTGGCTTCTGTCTTTAGAAAGGGATTTTACTCAAAACTGGAGAGAGCAATTATTGTGTTTTATTGGTCAGGTAAAAGGCTGATTAAACCATTGACAATCCCATGAAATCGGATTTTAAAAAGTACTTTTGATATTCCTTTGAACATAAATTTAAGGGAAATTTATTGCAAAGGTAGCTTTTATTATTCATATATTGCTAATTTTAAAAATCTGAGATGGCATTTTATACATTTTAGGTAGGTTAAGATTGGCTCAGAATTGAATACATTATTCTTTTTTATTTTGCTACTATACACTGACAGAATGAATTTATGTGATCTCATGGTTTATTTTCCATTCTCAGTTTACTGACTTTTGCTAAAGGTTTACTTGGGGAAAAATAAAAAATTCAGAAAATGAATAAACTATACATGTATGCACATGATTAATATTTTTATGGAGATAATGGTTGTGTTTAACCTGTGATATCTTTTCAATTAGATGGTTTCTTTAGAGATTAAGCTAATTTATGAAATAATAATAAAATAGACTAAAATTGATAGTAAAAGATATTACTAGAAACTAACTCTTTTCCTTAGAATTGTCAATTTTGCTGAGGATGGAAAAAAGGATGAGTCAGTATACCTGGCTCAAATATGTTGAGTTGTTGATTTCTGCTCACTGTCCCCACCATTTTTTAGGGGAGAGAGAGA